TAACGTGGAGGTGGAGTGGGTGGAGCCACAACCGCAGCCAAATCAACCTACTAGCAGTGAAAGAAAAAATGCGTTCACTTCCTGGAAATTCAAGCAATTTTTCTGTGTAAAAAAGGAGCGAGCCGAGTGTGAAGCGGCTGGGATGAGAATCAGCCCCTCTAAATCTGAGACCATGGTCTTGATTCAGAAAAGGGTAGAATGCCTTCTCCGGGTCAGGGGTGAGGTCCTGCCACAAGTGGAGGAGTTTAAGTATCTCTAGGTCTTGTTCACGAGTGCAGCGTTAGATCGAAAGGCGGATTGGTGCAGCATCTGCAGTGATGCGGGCGTTGTACCGGTCTGTCGTTGTGAAGAGAGAGCTGAGTCAGAAGGCAAAGCTCTCGATTTACCGGTCGATCTACGTTCCTACCCTCACCTATGGTCATGAGCTTTGGGTAGTGACCGAAAGAACGAGATCGCGGATACAAGCGGCCAAAATGAGTTTTCTCCAAAGAGTGGCTGGGCCCCCCCTAGAGATAGGGTGAGAAGCTCAGTCATTCGGGAGGGGCTCGTAGTAGATTTGCTGCTCCTCCACATCGAGAGGAGCCAGTTGAGGTGGCTCTGGCATCTGGTAAAGATGCCTCCTGGACGCCTCCCTCGTAAGGTTTTCCGGGCACGTCCAACCGGGAGGAGGTCTAAAGGTAGACCCAGGACAGGCTTGAGGGACTATCTCTCACCTGGCCAGGGAACGCCTTGGGATTCCCCCGGGCCCAAGTGGCTGGGGAGAGGGAAGTCTGGGCCTCTCGCCTTAGGCTGCTGCCCCCGCGACCCGACTCCAGATAAGCGGATGAAAATGGATGGATGGATGGATTGAAAAGGAGCGAGGTGCCTGAAATCTGATGGTGCAGTGCGATCTTTGTCTCCCAGCTAACAACCTACTAGCTGAGTCCAAAGACAACATCTAATCTGAAGAATTGTTTTATTTTCCCATTCAGTTCATATTGTTTAGTCTTCTGGCACTCACAGAGTACAGTCGCTTCCCTTTTTGCTCCCTTATCTTTTTTCCAAGGCTCTTTGTCCCGTCTGCCTACGGAGCGCTTCTCTGCATTTCTTCTGGGATTCCCTATTTTTTTTAGAAATGGATTTAATTAATTGGTCATTCAACGCGATTGATAAGATCTTTTCCACAATGAGAACGGAGGAGGGGGCTCCCACCTGCCCTCAAGGGACACATGCAGCGGGATATGGGCTCGATTCCTGGAAGGTCTGGAGGATCGTTTGTCTCTCTCAGCTGTCCATTGAGGACGTTGAAGATGTGTGGATATTTGGCCTGATGATCACTGGATTTCTTCTGATTGGAGTGGGAGGATATCTGGTTTTCTGGAAATTTGGGAAGTCGGGAGCGATTGGAGTGCGACCCGCACCCATGGCAAGCACCGCCCGGGCGGATGCCTCACAGACTGGGACGTTACTCGAGGTGAACCGTAAGCTGGACAATGTCCTTGCTGCGTTGCCGGTATTAGTGCGCAAAATTGATGTCATCTCGGAGAGGGTCACTGGACGATGTGGAGATGTTTAATACCTAAATTGACTTCACTGGAGGACTTGCATGATCAATACAGACTTTAAGGCAGAGAGGAAAATTATCTCTGCCTGACCCAAACAAAGTCCTGTTATCCAATCTGACGACATAGCAGCCTTGGAGTTGCGTGCAACAACCCCCACGATGGAAGGAATGCAGACAGATGCTGTGGAACCCCCCCCCCCCCCGCCTTCAGATTGTGGTCTCTGCATAGCGAGGTCATCAAAATGCAGGAACTCAATGTGCTCTGTGCTTTCCCATGACCTCCCACCCACCTGTGGATACAGTTGGCTGAGCGCCACACGGGCTGCTCCCGCTGAGGAAACCAGGATCCCAGCTTCTGTTTTGGTGGTTCAGGTGCGGAAAATGTGCTCCATGCGCTGTGAACCTGAGTTAAAGACCCATCTACTTTGATTGACGGCAGCTTTTTCCACAAAGTTAATGCAGACTCAAAACAGGAGACTGTCAATAATGAGTCTCAATTTGCAGGATGCATGAAAAGTAATGAAAATGCAGGACTGTCCCACATAAAGCAGGGCATCTGCTCACCCTGTATCCCGCATTAGCTGGCGATATACAAAAGACGAGGAAACTCTTGGAGTAGAAAAGCCAGTAAATTCAGCGTCACGTGCAAAATTTGCTTTCATGGACTCACCCATCTAAATGGTAAATTCCCCCGGGGCAGCAGTAGCTCAGGTGGTAGAGCGGGTCGCCTCATGATCGGAGGGTCATGGGCTTGATTCCAGCTCCCGCCAGGGGTATCCTGCTGTTGTGTCCTTGGGCAAGACACTTCACCCAACTTGCCTGTGTTAGTGGTGGTCAGAGGGGCCAACGGCGCCAAATGGCAGCCTCGCCTCTGTCAGACCTCCCCAGGGCGGCTGTGGCTACAAGCAGCTTACCATCACTAGCAGTGTGTGAATGTGAGAGTGTGTGAAAGCGTCTTTGGGTGTCTAGAAAAGCGCTATATAAGTTCAATGCATTATTATTATTATTATTAAATGTCCATTTGATGTAGCGCCTTCTAGAGTCCTGGAACCCCCCAAGGCGCTTTACAACACAATCAGTCATTCACACACACACACATTCACACACTGGTGGGGACGAGCTACGATGTAGCCACAGCTGCCCTGGGGCGCACTGACAGAGGCGAGGCTGCCGAGCACTGGCGCCACCGGTCCCTCTGACCACCACCAGCAGGCAAGGTGGGTTAAGTGTGTTGCCCAAGGACACAACGACAGCGACAGACTAAGCGGGGCTCGAACCTGCAACCTTCCAATTACGGGGCGAGCACTTAACTCCTGTGCCACCGTCACCCATAGGGAAGGCTATTTTTGTTTTAGCACCCAGGAAACAGCAGAGATGTCTCGGCTAATAGAAGCTAACTGTTAGCATTAGCAACTCCACCACACAGCAGAACTCCTTAGGGCTTGTGTTATTTGTGGAGGTAAAACATCAACGTCAAAAAACAAATGGAGTCAGTGATGGAGTTGTGTTGCTGTTAGCCAATCAGTGATGAGATGTCTGAATATCAGGAAATAAGACTCCAAATCCTATCATCTGATACTAAATTCTGCCCTTTTCTGCTCCCTTTTCCCCTGGCTAGCTTCTAGTTCCTGGAACGAGACCATTAGAGCTTTTTCCCCTCAAAGCTTGACTCACAAGACATTAATTTAGAGGCCACTGCAAATGTGTGAAACAAGTTAACCTGGTCTTGGGGTTGTTAAAGTTAAGTTAAAGTTAAAGTCCCATCAGTTGTCACACACACAGGTGTGTGCGCAAAATTTATTCTCCGCATTTGACCCATCCCCTGGGGGAGCGGTGAGCTGCAGACAAGCCGCGCTCGGGAACTATTGGGTGGTTTAACCCCCCAGTCCAACCCCTTAATGCTGAGTGTCAAGCAGGGAGGCATTGGGTCCCATTTTTTTCAAAGTCTTTGGTATGACCCGACCAGGAGTCGAACCCCTGATCTCCCAGTCTCAGGGCGGACACTCTACCACTAGGCCACTGAGAAAGGTTTGAGAGCCATGGTGGTTTGGAGCAAAAGATGGACCAATGGTTTGAGTCTTTGTTTGCAAGAATGACTGTGTTGCTCCTATTTTTGGTATCAAGTAAGAGCTATGCCAAAAGGCAAAATTCACAACATGTTGGTCTGTCTGTGGCCCAATCCAAATCTATGGACCTAAAATACTAAATCCAGTTGCCGACATTATCTTCCTCCAAAGGGGGGCTGGGTTCAGCCTTGGAGAAAGGGTGAGAAGCTCCATCAGCTTAAATTAGTCCTCATCAGTGTATGCTGGCTATGGTAGGTAGGAGTAAATTAGGAGGCCTTGTGGTCCTTTTCCTCAGGAAGGTTTTCCTTCTGGGCAGACCCAGATTTCAATGAGGGGTTTTGTTTTGAGCTCATCCAGTTTCTGATCAAGCCTCCTACTTCATCTTAATCGAACATCTGTGTGCTAGTTCTTCTGTGTCTCCACATGTGGATGGTTGGATGGACATTTCATTGTTCTCCTGTTGGTACTCAGGTCCACCGAGAACATATTTGACAGTTATACAGTCCATACTTTGGAACTTTTTCACATTTTTAAATCAATTTCTTGAGCCAGTATGTGCTAAAATGACCATTTACAGGGTTAATGAAAGGCCAGCTCAGCCCCTATCGCCCCCTGTTGGGACTCAGGCCCAATCCCTATTCTCGCACTGCCACACTTGCACACTTCAGTTGCACGATCCCTGTCGGGGGTGCGAGTGTGTATGGGTGTCCCGATTCCCAAGTGAAGAAGTTCACACCCCCTTTGTACCCTTGATCCTCATCGATGCGGACTTGGGCGAAGTGCAGATCAAGGGTATTACCCACAATCCATTGCTGCGGGAGAATAGGTTCAAGTGCCTTTTCTGAAAATATTTATTTTCAAATGAAAATAGTTCATTGTACAACAATTAACTGATGCTCTGGATGTTGTGGACAACGCAGCAACAAATGTTATTTTATTTCTAATGATTGTTTGGTTGTTTGTTTGAAAGTTATTAATAAAGATATTTTTTTAAGTAGCAACGTTCCCCGTCCCAATCCTGCAAATATTTGCACACTTGTGTACCACACACTCGAAGCCGTACTGCACACTTCCTCCAAGTGCACTTCACAGAAGACCGTAGGGCGCAGTGCGAGTGTTGGCATTGGGCCTCAGAAAAAAATTGAGCTGACATACCAGGTGCTGCAGTCCGCTTTCAGCACATTTCCTGCATGTTTTAGATCATGAACACAGCTGATTTGTTCGATTCAGTAATGAATCACTCCTGTAGACACTAAGGAAGGCTGGGAGACATTTCAGCTGTTAGATTCAAGTGTTAAAAAGGCAAAAACACAGCAAGGAGATAGGTTTTAGATATACAAACGGACACTAGGAGGTGCTAAAAGCAAGCCAGAACTGCCTAGTTCCCCTTTAAAAATAGAGAAAGTTTTCTTTTAAAGGCCCCGTGTGTGAAATTCACAGAAATCATAGTAAAAAGATCCGACTCTTTAGCACCACGCAGTTTAGAGTCGGTATTGCAGCTATTGGAGCCCCCGAGGATCAAAAAGGGTTTTTTATCATTATTTAAAACTTTATTAACAAATATAACAAATACAATACAAAATCGTGTTGCTGTAAACGGCAGCATGTCATCATCTAATTCCAGCTTTCAAGTCAGCGAACAGGTTAGTTGTTTTCATCAAACTTATTTTATTAATTTAATCTAAATAGGTTTTGAATAAGAAAAACTTTTTTATGTCAGTTATGTTTGCTAATAGCAAACGGCAGCTAGTTAGTGATGACTTCTGACTACAAAAAATGACAATATTTGTTCATTTTATTTGAGAAATGTTATATTTCTATTTGCCATTTTGGAAATATACAAGGTAGTGTAGTCTGTAATTGTTTTTTCTCCGTAAACAGAGTCAGATATCATCCGATGGTTCATCAGTGGAGACAGACAGAGGACGAGGGAGAGGAAGAGGGCGAGGAAGAGGGAGAGGAAGAGGGAGAGGACAGACGTGTGCCAGCGCACAGAGAGGCAGAGGTGTTAGACATGCGACAGAAGCAGGGCAAGCATCCCAAGATGAAGGAGCCGAATTTGCTCAAACCAGCCGCAACGTCCCACGCACAAGAGGAAGAGGCAGAGCTGCAATAAAGTCTAGAAGATCGGCGCTTTCAAGCGCTTTCAAACTATCCCGTTTCTCAAGTTAGCTTGTAGAATATGTGTGATCCTCCATCGCTAGAAGTACGGTGTGGCTAGTTTCTTCTTCTTCTTAGTTACTTTGTCAGACTGCATGCTTACAAGGCGCACTTCTGCCCCCTGCTGTTTCTTTGAGGTTACATCATTTAAAAACGCAAACATCAAATGCGAAGCTTAATATGTTGTATGTCCCTAAAAGGTCACTGTATTTTAAGATGGCGCATGCCATATGGAGCACCGGTCTGCTTCTTTTGTCTAAAATATTAAAATATGAAGCTAATAATAATGCTTAGAATAAATGCTTGTTTGAATTATCATTAAAAAAAACAAATTTGAGAATGTGATACAAGAAATTTGATAACTTATAAGATGAAATATCACACATTGGGCCTTTAAGCTTTGTACAGAAGCTGAACCAATAAAGGTCACGTTTACCAGTTGTGTGGATAGAGTGAAAGAAACCCAGACATCTTGTCTTTCTGCCAAAGAAACTCGACTGAATATAATAATAATAATAATACATTTTATTTAAAAGCGCCTTTCAGGACACCCAAGGTCACTTTACACAAAACACGTAATAAAATACAATAAAACAATAATAAAACCCACAGAAAAAAAACAAAGAGAGAAACAGTTCAATAAAATCAGAGGTTGTAGGCAGATTTAAACATGTGTGTTTTGAGTTTTGTTTTGAAAAGGGTAAAACTGTCGACGTTCCTGATGTCTGGGGGAAGTGAGTTCCAGAGTCGAGGAGCAGAGCGGCTGAAAGCTCTGCTCCCCATGGTAGCGAGACGGGCAGAAGGAACCGCAAGATGGATGGAAGAAGAAGATCTGAGTGAACGGGATGGGGTGTGAATACTTATAAGGTCTGAGATATATGGAGGAGAGAGGTTGTGGATTGCTTTGAAGGTATGAAGGAGAATTTTGAAGATGGACCTGAATTTAACTGGGAGCCAGTGAAGCTGCTGGAGAACCGGGGTGATGTGGTGAAAGGAAGGGGTTCTGGTGATAATACGGGCTGCTGAATTCTGGACCAGTTGCAGTTTATGAAGGAGTTTGTTGGGGAGACCAAGGTGAAATGATTGCAGCCTTTCCTTTAACTTTTTTACTTTGACTTTCCTAACTCCTCTTTCTAATTGGTTCTGTTTACTTGAAACACAACCCACAGTGCAACAGTTCTTTTGCATGTTTATTTATCAGAGGGGCTGCGTGGCTGTGCAGTTGTTGGCACTGTTGCCTCGCAGCAAGTTGGTTGCAGGTTTGAAACTCGGCTGTGGCCTTTCTACGTGGAATTGCGTGTTCTCCCCGTGCATGCGTGTGTTTCCTCCCGGTACTCCGGTTTACCCCACAGATCACAACATGCCCTATAGGTTACAATTGTACGTCGCTTTGGATAAAAGCGTCTGCAAACATTAAATAAACATTAAATCGCAAAACTTCACAGTGACGCAGACATGAGAGAACATTAAGAGCTACTTGGCTGAGAGATTATCTAAGTACAGTTGCTAAAGGCTCTTTCCCAGGATCATCGTTCTGGACAAGCAACAATATCAGATGTTGGTGAACGACAACATCACCTCATCGAAGTCAGACGTGTCTTTAACCTCATTAGTGTTTAAAGGCCTTTATCATCGTCTCTGAGTAAATTATTACAGATTGGGAGCAATAACTGTTTTTTAATGACGTTCATTTATGGGCCAAGGTGAAAGAGCTCATTATCTTTTGTCATTAGAGGTTCAGTTCAGGGGTTGAGACAATAATTCTCTCAAGTCGCTTCAGCAGTTAACGTTCAAACGGTTTTCTCAAAATGAAAAAAAAATTAGACAATATTATAAATATTTTTTTAAATATCATTCTAATGTAAAATTAACTTTTACCAGTTTCCATCCTATTTTCACCCAACCATGCAGAATCAGATTTTTACTCTTTGTTTGTTTGTTTTATAACTGACTGGACGAAGTTTGCTGAGTCTTTAATTACAAGAGGATTAACTCTGCAGGGATCTGAGCTAACAATCATGGATGGATCTCCCAAATTGTTCAGCTGTTCGCGTCTGCTGACAAAAGTTCACATCACTCACAAGTTCTTGAATCTGCAAATGGAAAACCAAAACGGTGTTAATTCGTTAGTGCTTATGTGAGTGGGAACAAATAGAAGCTGGCCCAAGTGGCTGGGGAGAGGGAAGCCGGGGCCGACACCCAACCCCAGATAAGCAGAGGAAAATGGATGAATGAATAGATTTATAATCATTCTACGGTCGATACAAAACATGTTCACAAAGGTTGTTTTTTTATTAAGATAAAATCCCTCTCATATAAATCCAGTGTTGGGAACGTTACTTTAAAAAAGTAATTAGTTATAGTTACTGATTACTTTGTCAAAAAAGTAACTCAGTTACTAACTGAGTTACAAGATCATAAAAGTAACTAATTACCAACAAAAGTAACTGCTTAGTTACTTTTTTCATTAAAGAATGCAAGAATTACTACAATAGTGAAATATAAATGACTAATGACTGAACATAATAAAATTTGTCCAAATGTTTTATATAAACCTGAATAATTTAAACAAATAAGCACTTAACAGGAGGAACTACTAACAGGAGCATTACACTAATCTAGACTATTAAAAGGTCACTGTGTGATATTTAACAAGACCCCAATCAGCTAAAATTTAAAATTGCAAATAGAAACACCTGTAAAGGTTCCCGAGCCTTTAAATGGTCTCTCAGTCTAGTTAAATTACAGAAATAAATGTAATTTTGCACAGTATTCTAATTTTTCCAGCTTCACAATTGTGTGTTTTAGCAGCATTTCTGTTGCTAATCTGGTAACGGTTAAATAAATAAATAAATATCCTTTAAAATGACACTAGAAGAGGCACAAGCCTGATGGAGGACTCACATTTACTAACTTGGGTCAGACCCAACCACAGAAGAGCTGAAGCTGGGTGGTAAACACACACAGGTAGTTCTAATAACACCTGAGCTCCATGCCGTCTGAGACTGATGCATCAGTGTTACAGCGGGACTAAAGACATGATCAGAAACAGGTTACAGCTGGATGATCTAGGAAGGTGGAAGATCAGGACGTCTGAGCTGTGAACAGGTGAGCGGACCTTCGGGACGTCCCGCTGTCATGCTAAGGGCACGGCTGCAGACCCACAGATTCGCTGCTGCAGCAACAAATCTGCGGGGGGTCTGCAGCCGTAGATATTCATCACGTCTTCCACGTTCTTCACGGGCCATGATGCTCTTAAACATCTGCCTCTATAGTTCCTGATCAGCTGATGACAGCTCCAACACACCGCGCAGCTTAACGCACACATTTCCTTATCAGTAACAGAAATGACGTTTTGATAAAAAAAAGACGTAATTAATTAGTTTGCTTGTTACAGAAAGACATATTTTTTATTAACGCGGTTATTTTAAACGGAGTTATTCCCGTTGTGTCTACAGCAGCAGCGACTGAGAGGGTGAGGGTCTCCGCCCACCCGGCCAATCATCATCGTGTTTGTAAGCGCGTTACCGACACCTCTCTCTCCCTGGCTGCAGCTGAAGTGTGGCGGTCAGAAAGCCTCACGCTGCTGCTCAACGTTCGACAAGCACATAGTAACGCACAGCGTTCCGTCCCCAGTAACGGTAACGGCGTTGCAACGGCGGGAAAAGTAATTAATTAGATTATTCCGTTACCTATAAAAGAACGCCGTTAGTAACGCCGTTATACTTAAACGGCGTTACTCCCAACACTGCATAAATCTACATTTTCAGTACCTTCCGAAATGAGCTGTTTCAGGGCATTGTCACTTTTTGGGCTGGAATATACTTGCTTTCAATGCGTGCTTATCATAGCTGCATCATGTCATTTGCCCCTAGTCTAATACTCCAGTGTTATATGCAGCAGCAGTTATGTGAACAAGACGCTGCCTGCGTCAACGTGTGATTCAAACGTAAGCTAGCCACATCCACCCACTACCTGACGGGCTGTGCATTTATCACACATGAAAATGGCAGAAATCTAGAGACACTAATCACGTAAATCTACGCACCACGCTGGTGACAGGACAAAGAACTCCTGAGCCAAGCCGGTTCATGCTGAACCGTGATAGAAACACAAAAATCCGTATTCAAAATGACTTACATCTCTCTCATCTACTGACTAGTCATGGAAAGTAGGTACAGCTCCCTCCTGACATGCTCAATATTGTCCTGACCACATGGAATCAATGAGCAGAAATGAGGCAAAAGCAGAATACACTCTTAAAAATAAAGGTTCCAGTTAGAACCAGACGGTTCTTCACAGTGATGCCATAGGGGAACCTTCTTCGGTTCTCCAAGAAACCTTTTGCCTATTGGTTCCTCAAAGAACCATTTATAAATGGGTTCTTTGAGGAACTTTTATTTGGTTCTCTGTGGAACCTCACATATAGAACCTTTTAGGGTTCCACAAATAACCATTTATCAAAAGGTTCTATGAAGAACTAATTTAATTGGGTGCTTCAGAGAACCGAAAAAAGTTCTTTAAAGATCATTAGATTCTCTGTGGAACCTTAAAATCAGAACCTTTTAGTGTTCCTTTAGTAACCATTTATCAAGGGGTTCTCTGAAGAACTAATTCATTTGGGTGCTTCAGAAAAAGTTTTTTTGGGGTGTTTTAATCAGAAATTATCAATTTAAGTGCAGTAATTAAACCAAAAAGAAAATTTTGGGACCCAATTACATTAAATCAGTTTCATTCCTGTCAAATCTGTTTTCATTTACACCCAGACAAAACTTTGTTTTAGAGGTTATAAAGGGATGTTTTTTGTTTCTACATTTCTTGAAAAAATTATTTCCACAAAATTAAACTCAACAAAAACTGATCATATAACATGTCCTTCAAAGCAAACAATAATGCCATTAAAAAAGGTACAACTAATTGTTTTTTCATAAAAATGTATAAAATTGACATTCTCAAAGAAAGCCCCTACCCACATCTGTACCAAAAATCTTGGGCTGTCATGTTTGAGGGTAATTTCTTGACCCACGACATGAAGAATCACCACCGAGAGACAGAAGGTACGTTTAAATGATTTATTTTGAATGGGAGAGGTAGCCGAAGCTTCTGCAGGACTGGAGGGATCCGTGGGGTCTGAGACAGGAAGAGAGGTCAGAGTCTGGAGCAACGTGAGACGATGATGAAAAAATAAGGCTTACTGTTTCCTGAATGATCCGGTATTTTGTGGGGGGGGGGGGGGGGGTGAGTCAGACCTGGCTGGATGGGGAGACCGAGGAGCTGCAGGTGGATAGGTGGGGTGATGGAGAGCTGGCGATCAGGGGCAAACAGCAGGACTGGAATGTGGTAGATGGTTCCAAAGATATAGCAGAGAGTGGAGATGAACAGATGACTGGAACCTGGAGGAATCAGGAGGGCAGAGCAGGTTACCTGCCAGAAGGGCAGGAACAAATAGACAAACAAATTCTAAAATTGTTTTAGGAAGGTCAAAAGGAGGGCTAGAAACTACCCAAGACTGAGTATCATCTGGCAATGGTGAGATGTCCAGCTGCTCCTTAAATCCCCTGATCGCTGATGAGCTGATTTGGCACAGCTGGGCTCTCCAGACACACGCACCTGTAAAACACTCAGCAGAGATGGCTATGCAGCACAGATCATGACATGGGCAGGTGAAAGTCAAAAAAAGAACTCACATACTGCAAGGTTCCAATATGCAGCCAATTGATTTGCTTCAGGAAAGTAGTTGTATCTTCTCAAGCAAGAAAGCTCTGTCTCGCAAGTTTACAGGCGCCATCTTAAATGTCTTGTGATGCAAGTCACTTAATGGGCCATGCACTGCGAAACAAACAGTGTAAACAAGCAGACATAAATCTATGGAAGGCAAAAAGGTATTATAAAGTGCTGAATTTTTTTTTTTTTATAATGCTGGAAAAATAGTGACGGTAAAGAGCAACTCGAGTTGAACAAATTTGCAAAATCACACCGACAGAACAAAGGGAAAACCATAACAGGCAGTGCCAGGCTTGCTTTTTACAGTGAATTATAAAACCTTTGCACTGCAATTGGACCAGAACCCTTCATTTCGAAAACAAAAGTTTCCAGAAAGGAAACAGTCTTTCTCAAGTTTTTGGGATACTGAACTTGGAAGATGTGGTAAAGAGAAAAAGTAGCAGCCAGGGCAAGGGAGATGTCCACACTGCCATCATCAAGGAGTATCTCTTCATTATCCATCTTCACAGTGATGGCCTCACTCTGCAGGGTTTTCGTCCCTGCAGTCTGTCAGGACAACAGTTGGTGTTGGAAACACTGGATCCTGTAAAATGCAATCATAGAAAAGCCCTTAAGACTCCCTTTGTCAGACAAAAATATTTTAACCTGGCAGCAGCCAGATCTCTCTGTGTAGCCCCGCCCCGTGTTGAGTCTACACAGAGATCTGGAATGGTTGCAGCAGAATCTGTTTGAAAGAGGGAGGGCTCTCTGGTAGAGAATATTTTGAATTGATTGGAGGACGCGCAAGGTAATGCCCAGCTGGCACTGGCTGGCTGCTGCCAGGATAGGGCATCCATGGTGAAGTGTGAAATCCATGGTGTAGCAGAGCTAGCGAAGGTTCATAGTAGAGGGCTGCATCGGGATTGGGTCAGCGGAACCCAACACAAATCTTGCGGGGGCGGGCGGTGTGAATTTTGCTGCGGGCGAGAATGTTCGGCTAAAAGAAACAGCGCGGGATCGGGATGAGTATGATGGAGTCGGCAATTGAGGTTGAAAAGAAGCTGAAACAAGGTCTTTATGACACAAAAACCAAAGCAAGGCAAGTCAGACAATTGGAGGAGCTTCTCCGATTGTGTTCATATTTCTCATTCAGGTCTCTCTTAGAAAAGCGACCTCGATCACTGCCTGATTAGAGTCGAATAGAATGTGAAACGGCCTTGATTTCATTAACCCTTTAAGCACCACACAGTAGCTCCTTTATTTATTTATTTTTAAAGAATTTTATAGTTTAAGTAGCGAGGAGTTATTTGAAATCTCATGCGCCGAGGCGTCACCGGTGATCCTGGTGACGCCTCGGTGTTAAAGGGTTAAAAACTAAATGAAAACAAAGTGCGTCAATCCTGACCGTTTGTTAAAGGGGGGAGTCGAGGGGTGCGCGCAGTCTCTTTAGTCTTTATCCGCAAGAGCGCCAGGGGTGGGGGGTATTGGAGATGTAGCGTGAGAGCATGTGTACAAGGTCAGATGCATGTGTCTCATGCTCATTGTGTTCGAGCTGGCAGCCCTGGTGAAAGCAGGATGGTATTTAGTAATTTCTCATCATGTTTGTACATTTCACTATAATTGTGACTAATCTGCTGCAGCTAAACCTTGATTAGAAAACTAAAAATCACAAATTCAACAGAAATCTTAATTTGTGCTAGAAACATAAACACAACTTAATATTTTCCTGAAATAGTTTAGTTCTAGTAAAATAAAGATATTTAAATAATATATTTAAGTCAGGTTTTGTCTGTTCTTTACTGAAAGTAGTTAATGAGCAAATAGCATAAAATGGCCAGGGCCACACTTAAAATTACGGCTGCAGCTATCGAATATTTTTGTAATCGAGTACTCCATCAAATCTTTTATCGATTAATCGAGTACTCTAATAAATTCCCCTTTTGCGTTTTTAAACCATTAAATCAAATAGCATGTTATAAAATATGAAAGACCTCTTGAAATAAGCAAGCAATTGCCAGTTATTCTGTATAAAGTATAAAGTCTTGTATAAAGTTGTTTATCACACTGTTGGACTGTATAAAGTCCAACAGTGTGATAAATGCAACAAAATTTATTATAGGTTCACATTTAATGTTTTTAGGTTTTTTTAAGAAATAGAAAAAAACTGGAAGTGGTTGTTATGGCGCTAAGTTTGCATTTTCTTCAGAGAGCAATCATAGGAGAGCCTTTCTAGCCAATCAGAAGCTAGACAGTCGGGACCTTCCTTCGACTCCCCACGATTCCAAATGACGGTTGCAACACCATGACGCTATCTGGATGCTAAACCAACAACAGCCTTCCCCGTTGTGAGTCAAGATGGGCGAGTCCATGAATGTTGAGTGACATTGTGACGTAGATCTGCCTGGATTTTCAAATTTCACTATCAGAAACTAATGCAGGAGATAGGTGTAGGAGACTATTCTCATGTTCAACTAGCATGACTCACAGTGACCGATTATAATCACAAAAAAATGTAAATGGCTTTTCAGTGGTCTACACCTTTAAGAAAAACACTTCTCCTTTCTTCTATTATTTTTGGACAGTTAGACCAATTGATTTAAAATCATTAGAATCTAGAGATAATAATGAAAATTGGCAAGGTTATGTAGCACCTTTCACACACACTTCAGCGTGTTTCTGAACGGCCGTCAGAAATATCGACTTTGTTGCTAAGTTGGCAGCACCGGTTCTGAAATCCCAACAGGGACACATTTTGACATGTTCTGTTCAGTTAGCTTTTAAATCACTAGTTAGCAGGAACGTTGCTACTCTGGTAAGCACATGAAGATGTGTTTATAAAATAAATGTCTTTTTGCTGTCGTTTATGTCAGAACCGAGTCAGCAGACTGCGTTAAAGAGCACCGTCAGCTCAGGCCTGTAGATCAGAACGACTGAAAACCAAATTGCTGGCCTTGTGCTGCTTCCGGCCCTTCCGGCTCATTCTAATCGGGAGTTGTCCGTGTTCCATAAATGTGCAGTAATTTGAGCACACTGTCCTCAATAACTAGGACAAAAACAGATTTCTCCCCCGTGTCATGAGCCTATGACTTGTCAGAAGGCAGTGAAATAATGAAGGCAGCTTCATACAACAGCTCGACATTCATTAAAGGTTTTTATTAGCTTTCAACAGTGTTGTCCGCCCAAAAGCTGGAGTGGAGGAGAATTAAAATGTTGGCGCTCTTCTCTTTTAAAAGAGCCGTTTACTAGAATCTGTTGCACCTCAGACGAGGGAGCGGCCTCTGCCGACGGACACGCGTTTGGAGGGTTTGAATAACGTCTTTTTATGCGGACTCATTTGTTTCCCAACTGAATAATTCTATTGGATAAACTAGCATTAGACGTGCTTCAGTGTCGCCTACAGGGGCGGCGTTAGGCCCGGCTACTTGGGCTGAAGCCCCGGATCTTTCATGATAAGCCCCGGATCTAAATCGTGGAAGTAACATGCAGTACCAAAGTCCAACAGAGAGGGCGCAGCTGGCAGCAGTTTGT